ACATCAATTGTATCTAGCATATTTGTACATGTATTTCTAAACATTTACTTTCTATTGAGCCCTTGGTACCAGCTCCTCTTTTTTCCCTCCTTCCCCCATCCTTGTGACCCCTTGATAAATTATTATCATTTTCACATTTTACACCAAATGCTGTCTCCTTTCCCCCACAGTTTCTGTTGTTCTTCCCTCTAGGGTGGGGGGTGGGGTTATGTATACATCATTGCAATCAGTTCCCTCTTCCTCCCCTCCTCTCCCCTCCCCATACTCTCCTGGTATTGTTACTTCCACTCCTGTTCCTGTATTTCATGTGGTGAGCTCTTATCTGTACCTCTATACCTCTGCACATGCTCCAGTCTAGCCCACAGTGAAAGACAATACTGGGGTCATGATAGTGGGGGGTGAGAAAGCCTCAAGGAACCAAAGGAATATTGTGTGTTTCATTGGTGCTTTACTGCATCCTGGTTGACTCATCCCTTCCTTGTGACCCTTCTGTGAGGGTATGTCCTTTTGTCTACAGATGGGTTTGGGGGCTCTGCTCTGACCTCCCTCATTCTCAATAATATGGTTTTGTTTGTTTTTGTTTGTTTGTTTGCTTGTTCGTTTTGGGTCTTCTGATGCCTGTTACCTGATCCCACAGGCTAGTGTGCTTTTTCCATGTAGGCTTGTTGCTTCTCTGCTAGATGGCTGCTTGTTTAACTTCAAGCCTTTAAGACCCCATACATATATCTTTTGATTGCCGGGCACCATCCACTTTCTTCACCACATTTGCTTATGCACCCATTTTGTCTTCAGTGATTGTGCTGGGAGGGTGAGCATCACAGAATGCCAGGTGGTTAGAACAAAGTGTTCTTGCAATGAGGGAGGGCATGAACGGAGGACTGAAGTCCGCCCACTACCTCAGTGTGTTGCCATATAAATATATGTACCTAGGCCAATACCTCTATTTTCATGAATTAATGTATTTACATATGTACACACCTGTGCTTATACCTCTATCCATAGCTTTGCTTCCTAAATCTTTCCTCTGTTTCCTTTTACCTTCCTCCTACCCCACCATCATGCTTGCCCTTCTTCTGCCTAGCAATTGCCCTCAGCTAGATTGATGTTGTTCCAACACCCCCAGGATCTCTTTGTCCTCCTCATTGTTGATTTTAACTTCCTAGTTGTTCCCCTGCCTAATGACCATTTTAAATTCAAAAAAAGATACACTGAAAGGTAGTTTATTATTTCATGCAGCTAATGCTTAAATAAGGACAATGAAAGATATATGCAAGCTAGATTAATTATAAAGTTTAAAAATATTAATGAAAACATTAAAAACAGTTATTTAAGATAGTTCCATATTGCTTCTTGATTGTCGTCCTTACTTGCAACTTTCTTTGCTTTTATCCAAGCACCATCTGCAGTGTGATTTATCCTTAACCATCTTTTCACTGTAGTAGGATCCTATTCTTTTTTCGGTAGGCCACTTAGATAATAGTCATTGCATTTGATGTATTAGAAACAGGTGACTACTTTTCTCTGAACATATTATGTTCACCTTTGGGGCTGGGGGGGCGGGGCGGGGCGGAGAAGCGAAGCCTTTTTGCTTCTGCTGAGCTTACAGCAATTGTTCTGACAATATTTTTAGCTCCATGAACATTTTCAGGAATTGCACAAGTCAGTCACAATATCTCGTGGGAATTTGGTGCCTAACACAAAGGTGAAACGACTGACAGTGAGTTACCCTCTGGTTGTTTGATTCTCTTCCTCTTTACATTACATAGTTGTTTACTGAAGTAACAAATACAGGGAATAAAGGTGTAGTATTTTATCAAAATGTAACGAATTTTATGAAACAAATAAATATTGCAAGCATAGTTCTGTCTAATTTTTCATACTTATGGGCCAAATGAAATTTATTACTTATGCTTAGAGTACGTTGTTGCTCAGATGAAGTTTTAAAAAGGGTTAAGGAATGTCAGTTTGTGATTTCCACATTAGGAGGTTGCTCGGCCACACACCTTAGAAAGAACTCTGATTACAAGTGCCAGGTTAACAGCCAGTTCGCCAAACTCAACAAAAAATTAGTAAGTGGTTCTGCTAAACCGATGCCAGTTGGTTGAATCCTAGCACTGCCTCGCTGTATTGTGTGGCCAGTAAGGGGGTTAGGACAAGCCCTGACTCCCAGAGTTCTGGGTCATAGTCCCAGGACACAGTGGTGTATCCTTTCAGCCGTGGAGCAAGGGGTTGGCTTGTTGCAGGCAGTGCAGCCCAGAACTAGCACCCCAACAACTGCTGTAGCTTCCTACTGCTGCTGTCCTAAGTGGTTCCCTCGCCAGATTACTGGCCGCCAAGGATCACGGGGATTCAGTGCTTATCTTTAGTCTTTGTTTGGGTTATGGGAGAACCTGGGGAAAGTGGAGGAGGCGTGACTTCAATATTCATAGCGTTTTTAAACAAACGATTTCCTAATTTGTGTCTGCTTCGTGCCAGCTTGAAACTTCCGTAGGCATCACCGGCTGCGCTGCGAACGTTTCCCTTCTGCTGTGGCCACCCACCATGCCTCTTGCTCCCCCACACATCCTTTCCTCAGCAGCAAAGGAAAGAACAGCGAGACAGCCAGGGCCGCGGGGTGGGAAGTTCTTCCCGCCGTTAGTGGCTGGCATTTGAGAATGCGAAGATTTTTCCATTCATAAAACATAGGTCCTTGTTTAGTGGTATCCTACCTCTCCGACACAGCGCCCCTCCACTACCAACAGAAGATCAAGTCCCAGGCATTTTCTCTGTTCCAAGGACTAAGGGGACTAGGGAGGCAGGATATTCCATTTCGCTAGGATGCCCCATTTTATGAATCCCACTTTGATTCCTCTCAGTCTATATAAATAGCTGACATCCACTGCAGACCAACCCTTGGTGAAAGGAAGAAAGAAAATGGCTTGTGGTTCAATCCATAAAGACAACCTTGCCCTTTGTCCGACATTTTGTGATTTGCATTTTTTAAAAGTCTCTCACAGATTCAGGAAGCCACTGACAAGCCATGTTACCTTTTCGTTTCCAAGCACCTGCCTTTTTACTCTGTGGTTCGGGTGGGGGTGGGACCACAGTAGGCAAGGCTGAATATGGGAGGGGTAGGGCGGGGCGGGGCATGGAGTAGCACTAATTCAAGATGCAATCTCCATCCAAATGACGGATGGTTATTAACCACGATCCTCTCGACGAAAACCTTAAAATTACGCCTTGACTCCCCCACCAATAAGAGGCGAACCCCCATTTGCTGAGCTGAGGCTTCCTCCCTCCTCCTCCGCATTACTCGGTGCCCTAGAAATTACAACTCCTCTGTGTGGCGCGTGCCGAGGTGGTGGCGGCGGCGGGAGGGGGGCGGGGAGGGGATTCCCGAGCCAGCCGGCGCTTGCCCTCCTCCTGCCAGCTGCACTGTCGCGCCGCCAAGGTCAGAAGCGCTGCAGGAGTAGCGGCTGGGAAGCAGGGAAGCAAGTCCATCCCGGGGGCGGGGAGAAAACCCTTCGTGTCTGCAGCAGTCGAGGAGGGAGGGAGGCCTGGCCCCGGCGGCGCCGAGCTGCCCGTGGCCGCCGCCTCCGGCTCGGTCGCGGCCTGGAGGGACGCAAAACGGAACTTGGCCTCCCACCTTCAGGATCCTAGCGCTGTCCATCGCCTCCTGGAACGGAACCTAGCGGCAGGACCGCGAAGCCTTGCGCACCTGCCTGCTCACCTACCGATTGCGTGTGTGTGTGTGTGTGTGTGTGTGTGTGTGTGTGTGTGTGTGT